GAGGATTCAGAGGGGATCTCATCAGGTGTATAACATTGTAAATGGGATTTAAAAAGTAAACCCAGATCAACACTGTACATTAAGATGCACCAAGACAGCAGAACAAGTGAACGTAGGTTTAGAGTTGTAACAGGTAAATTCAGGACAGACACCAGGAAGTTTTCTTTCTCCAGAGGGTAATTAATGACTGGAACAAGTTGTCAGGAAGGGTGGATGAGATCAGATGTGCTGTGTGTGAGTTTGTGTATGTTGTGTGTGTGTGTGTGTACATATTGCGTGTGTGAGTGTGTAAAAACACCCGTCATCACCCCCATACTCATAAAACCTTCCCTGCTCTCCATCTACTGCCCCATCTCCAACTTTCCTTTCCTTTCCAAGGACCTGGAATGAGTCGTTGCTTCCCAGCTTCACTCCTTCCTCTCCCGCCACTCCCTCTACAAAGTCTTCCAATTGTTTTACTGTGCTACTCAAAGCACATAAACAGCTTTGGTCAAAGTGACAAATTACATTTTGTCCATCTGTGACCCCTCTGTCTCCTCATCCTCCTTGACCTATCTGCTTCCTTTGGTACTGTCGACCATTCTATCCTCCTCCACTGACTCTCCTCTCACCTCAACCTTCACGGTTCTGTCCTTGACTGGTTCAAATCTTACCTTTCGCACCAAGACATCATCAACAACAACAACAACAAGATTTCATTTATAGAGCGCCTTTCACGTCGGGAGGATGTCCCAAGGCTCTGGACTGTTGGGTCGGGACCCAAGCAGGGGGGAACTGGTCAGGGTGAGGGGAGGGAAGGGAGGGAGCGAGGAGGGGGCAGAGAGTCAAGTGGGGAACTGAAGGCATGGTCGAAGAGAAAGGTCTTGAGACCAGCCTTGAAGGAGGAAAGGGAGGAAGCGGCGAAAGCACTTGGGGATGGCGTTCCAGAGCCTAGGGGCTGAGAGGCTGATGGCCTGGCCACCGATGGTAGGGCGGTTAGGGCGGGGGATGTGGAACAGACCGGAGCCAGAGGAACGGAGGGTACGGGCAGGTAAGTAGGGGGATAGTAGATCGGAGAGGTAGGAGGGAGCAAGGCCATGAATGGCCTTGTAGGTGAGGATGAGGATCTTGAATTTGAATTCCATTCAAGTCCTGAATTCGAATTCGAAATCAAGTCCTGGATGAGAGCTAACTCTCTCCAGTTGAACGTCAGCAAGGCTGAGGCCCTGGTGATTGGCTCCCATCAGAATCTCCACACCTCAGGTGCTGGCAACATCACCATCCATGGATGCACACGCCACCTCACTGAGCCAGTCTTGGCGTCCTTTTTGACCCTCAACTGTCCTTTCTACTCCACATCCGTGCCATGACCTACTCTGCCTTCCCCCACCTCCGCAACATTGCCCAGCTCTGCCATTCAGGCTGTGGAGGCCGTCATCCATACATTCATCATATCTAGGCATCATATCTACGTCAACTCCTCACTTGTTGGCCTTCCCTCTACAAGCTGCAGATCATCCAGAACTCTGCAGCTCATGTCCTCTCCCGCACTAGGCTCTGCGTCCCTATCAACCCCAGCCTCACCCAGTTCCATTGGCTCCCCACCACTCAGAGGATAGAGTTCAAAATCCTTGTCCTCGCCTTTACGCCCTCAAAGGCCTTGCTCCTTCCTACCTCTGTGACCTGCTAACCCCACATCAACCTGTCCGATCCCTCCACTCAGCAGGCTGGGGCCTCCTCCATATCCTCCACCCGGCTCGCCCCACCATTGGCAGGCGGGCCTTCAGCCTCTCTGCCCTCACTATCCCACAGTCCCTTAGCCTTGCTCCCTTCCTTGCCACTTTCAAAGCATGTCTCAAGACCCTCCTCTTCGACCTTGCCTTCCCTCCTATTCCTACCCTCTTTGCCCCCTTTCCTGATCCCAACCCCCTACTTGGGTCCAAATCAGTGACTGTCCAGCGCCTTGGGAGGTCCTACCAAAATGAATGGCGCTATACAATTGTAATTTGTTGATGGGGGTGGTGATTTTTGTGTTGTGTGTATATGTGTTGTGTGGGCTGTGTAAGTGTTGTTTATGTGTTGTGTGCATGTGTGTGTATCACACACAATCTCACACACATAACTCACATAAAACACACAAGAAACACACACATTAACACAAACACATACATACACACATACACTCACCACACATACACAATTATTCACACACAACACACGGACATCCAACACACACATAACACAACAAACACCACGCACACCACACACACAAATAACACATACACAACACATGCAACAAAACACATGCACAGCACACCCAACACATGCACACAAAGACCACACACACACATCGCACATATACACACACTCACACACATGCAACACATACACACACAGATACCCAAACAAACACACTCGGATGCACCATAAACAATGCACACACATAGACAATGCACACACAACAGAACATACAATACAACACACGCATACACCAACATACTAGCAATCCATATAAGCTCTTTCCACTTGTTGGTGAGTCTGAACTTAGAGGTAAAAAATATCAGTAGGCAACAACAAATCTAATCATGAGTTTAGGAGTAACCTCTTCACTCACAGAGGGTGGTATGATCTTTAACTCACTGCTGTGGATGAAGCAAAAGCATCAGCGTGTTCAAATGATGCAAACATGAGGGACAAGAGAATAAAGAGAAGTATAGGAGAGGGAATAGGAGGGTTTATGTGAAGTATAAACACCGGCACAGACTAGTTAGCTAGAGTGCCCTGTTTCCATGCATTTCCCTCTATGTAACTGTATAATATATGAGAGAACTCACTGCAGATCAGTTCCACACTAAGTATGGGCTCTACTGTCTGCTCAATGATAATAATAATAATAATAATAATGCTTGCATTTGATATAGTGCTTTTTACGTCGGGAGGACGTCCCAAAGCTATATAGGCCACCAAAGCTATGGTTACCACTTTCACACTCTTGTTTGTTTATTTCTTTGTACTTATGCCCTCTCACCACAATGATACCAGCCCACCATGATAAGCCAAATCAGCAGCTACCATGATCATGAGAAAAAATTAATTCTCAAAGATCAATGGAGTTTTGTATTGCACAGAGGCCAATGGGACGTTCAGAACAGTTACAATTAGATGAGCAGTGGCGTCACAGGAAATTGAGGGCAGCACAGCTGTGCCGTCCCTGGCCTCTGATTACAACACTCACCGCCCTTCTGCTCCCATCCTCTCAACTATATAAACGCTGATCATAGTCTGGAGACAGGAGTCTCAGGTTAGCTGCAGAGGGAAGAAAGAAAGAGAGCACAATGAAAACTGTTATCTTCATCCTTACCTTACTCCACATTCTCTACTGTGCTGGTGAGTGCAAGGACCAGATGGATGGAAGGGTTATTATTATTAGCTAAGTGCTGATGGCTGCTTTTATTCATTGTTTGATTATTTTTATTTAACGTAAGATTTTAATTTGCTTCTCAAATGCTTCTGTGTCAGCCTGGCTCAGTGGTAGCACTCTCACCTCAGAGTCAAAAGGTTGTGGGTTAAAATCTTACTTCAGGACAAATCCTACTTCAGGACATTGAACTCAAAGCATTCGCTGACACTCCAAAAAAGTATTGGAGGTGTTTTGTCACGAATTTCCCAAATAAAATCATTCAATTCATGGCTGTTTGTGGGACACCACTGTGTGCAAATTGGCTGCCATGTTCTATAAAGTACACAGTCACTTTGCAGTAAAATCCTGTGAATTAGCTTAAGAGATCCAGATCCAGATCCACCTGAAGGCACTATATTAAATGCAAGATTGTTTCTTTTTTTATTGTACTTGGTAACAGATTAGCACAAGGAAGCAAATCAATAACAATAATTATTTACACACACATATAGCCTTTCATGTCGGGAGGACGTCTCAAAGATCTTCATAGAGAGAGAGAAGTCTGGGAGGCTGAGCTGGGGCTATGAGGGGAGCTGAAGAGCAGAGAGGGAAGAGGAAAGGTCCTCAAAAGCATGGTCGGAGAGGTGTCTGATGCATTATAGATGGAGGAGAGGATGAGGTGGAGGATCTCCGGGATGTCTGAAAGCTCAACATAGCTTTGGGTAATGGCAGAAATGAATTTGACTGTGACGTACTCCATTGAGCTGACACTCACAGTCTAAGATCATGCCTGAACAAATAAGGTGTTGGGTTAGGTACGAGCAGCATGAGCAAACACTTTCTTGGTATTTCTTTTTAAAAAAGTAAAACTCACATAAATTATCCCTTTGAAATGATACATTAACGTTACCATCAAGCGTAAGAGTTGCAAAAACTTGCATACGTCTTATCATAAAGTTATGTAAAGTTATGTATAAGTCGGATTTTATATGGCTAACACATAACAAATACACATGTACTGAACTGGCTGGTAACAGTAAGGCAAAGGTTTCTGTACCATGTTTAACCCAAGCTATGGTAGCCCATTCTTTCCATATACAGTACTGCACAGTACTGTACCTCATGCACAGAAAACATGTTCTGTACAATGAACGGCACAACCAAACAGGTTTCAAAACAAAACAGTTTTATTCGAATATAAACTCTTACAAAGATTGTTTCACATGGAGCAGGATGATTCAAGCTTTTGGCTGGATGCACTGTTTGATAACCACAAAACGCTGCTCTCACTTCCCTTCTCTGCACTCACTCGTTGTTCTCTCTCTCCCCCACTCCCTCATGCTCTCTCTCTTTCTCAATCACTGTTCCCTTCTCTTAAGCACTCTTCCCCACCCCCCCCTCTCTACCTCTCTCCCTTCCTTTCTCTGTTTCTCTTACTCATCTCTTCGCCTGATTCATTCTCACTCCAAGTTACTCTAAGGTAATATGACTAGTGCATTTAAATTTAAGTGGATTTAATAGGAAATTCAACAGGACTTGGGTGTATGTACTACTTAGGCGATTATACAATTTATACTGATCAGACTTATGTGAGTTTCTTTCCTGATTGCTCTTTGATAAGGACATTCATGTGAAAACTGTTCCGATCTACTGGTAAATGAAGCACTAAACGGTTCACTTACAAAACTGAACACCGAATCCACAAACGATAAGCTGTTCGCCATGACTAAGAGCAATGTGATAAAAGTGAGTATGGCTAACCTGGTGTGTTCGCTTTCTCCTTGTCTCAACTCTTTCGCTTCAAAACTCTTCCCCCTTTGAAATGATACATTAATGTTACCATCAAGCGTAAGAGTTTAATAGCACAGCTCAGGCCCACTAATCTCTGAGCTTACACCTAACCTCACAAATGAAATTCCCACACTGCGGACTCCATAGCATAGTGATTAGCGTGCTCGGCTCGCAAGTGAAAGGACCCAGTGTGAAACCTTAGGCAAATTCTTTACTCCACATGCCCCTGATTACCTATCAGTAATTAGGAACCTGTTTATTATTCGATTGGCGGATCGCTTTCTGGGTGTAATAATCAAGTGTGAAGAGGTCCTAGACTTCTTTGTGTCAAAGAATGAAAGCATTATTATTTTATATAACATCTGCTTGGCTGCATCCTCCTCCCCTACATCCCCATCCGCACCCCCCAGACCATCTACACCACCTCCTCCTTCCACCATGGTCCCTACCACTCCCCCTCCCCATACTCCTTCGGCCCAATTACTACCCCTTCCCTCCCAACCACCATCTCCCACCACCTGCTTCCTGTACCCTCTCCCCAACCAGCTGCTGGTCACGCAACTCCCCCTCCTCCCCCACTGCTGGCCAACACGGTCAGCTAGTCACTCTCCTCAGATTCTGTCTTTCTCCCCCTTAAAACCACTGTCTTACCCTCTTCAAAAAACCCACCCTGGACCCTCCATTCTCACAAATTACTGACCCATTTCCAAACTGCTTTTCCTTGCCAAAACTATAGAATGTGTTTTCGCTAACCAGCTTTGCTTTCACCTCTTCCTCCTCAAGCCCCACAGCACAGGTCACAAGCGATGTCCTTTCTTTCTGTGACTCTGCCTCCTCATCCTCCTGGACCTCTCTGTCATGTTTGACACAGTTGACCACGCCATCCTCATCCATCACCTCTCCTCCTTCATCCACCTCAGTATCTATCACTGCACTATCCTGATTTCAGTCCTACCTAACAAACTGCCTTCACTTCACTTTATCTCCTCAAACGGTTTGTCCTCCCGCCCCTAACTACCACCTGTGGTATACCCCAGGGCTCTCTTGGCCCTCTCCTCTTCCTCATCTATGGGGTAAACTTCGATATATATATGCAGATAACACACAAATCTACTTTTTCTCCTCCAGCTGCGACTCCAGATCCACCGATGTTCTCTCAGCTTGTCTGGCAGACATCAGGGTCTGGATGAGCGAAAACTTCCCACAAATCAATGTTGACAAGCTGGACGCCGTGCTCATTGGCTCCCATCAATGTCTTCTATCCTGCGGCTCTGACCTCCTCAACCTCCCCAGCCTATCCCTCAGACTTACCGAACCAGTGCGCAACCCAGGTGTCATGTTTGGCCCACAGCTGTCCTTCCTTCCCTACATCTGGTCCCTGACCAGGACCATGTTCCTCCACTGCACCAAATTGCCTGCCTCCGACTGTACCTTACCCCAGATGCAGCCGAAAAACTCGTCCGTGCATTCATCACCTCCCGAATGGACTTCTCAGATCTCCCTAGCTCCACCATGCACAGGATCCAACTGATCCAAAACTCTGCCACTTCCATACTCACCCGTACTAAACTCTCTACCCCATCACACCAGTTCTAGCCAAGCTCCACTGGCTCCCCATCACCGAATGGGTTGATTTCAAGATCCTCACATTCATTTTCAAATCCCTTCATGCCCTGGCACCTCTCCGACCTTCTTATCCCCCAAACCAGAGTCTGCTGCCTCTGCATGTCCCTCGTGCCCTCTGTTTCACCATTGGTGACCACGCTTTCAACCACTATGCCTCAAAACACTGAAACACTCTTCCTCTATCCCTCCGCCTTGCCCCTTCCTTCACCATTTTCAAGTCACGCCTGAAGACCTCTCCCTATCCCTCTGACTTGGAGTCATTCTCCATCACTGTCAAGTGGTCTGGGATGCTACCCTGTGTGAGGGACGCTGTATAATAATAATAATAATCCTTGCATTTGATATAGCGCTTTTCACATCGGGAGGACGTCCCAAAGCGCTTCACAGAACACACTGTAAAGTGAATTGACTGTATATTTGTGGGCGAACGCGGCAGCCAATTGCGCACAGCAATGTCCCACAAACAGTCATAGATTGAAACTGACCAATTTATTATTGTTTTTGGAGGGATTATTATTATTATACACAACTATTTGTGGGAAACTGCTTTGTGCAATTCGCTACCATGATTTCCCACAAAATAAACAGTCAATCCACTTACAATATATTCCTTGAAGCAGAATGTGAAGCAGAATATATTGAAATTTTGAGATATCTCAATGACGTGATAAGGTTCTATATCAAATGCAAGAATTATTATAAAGAACAGAGGAATGACTTGGACGTCATAAACAGCAACAAATTACATTTGTATAGTGTATTTCACATTGGGAGGACATAGGCTGGACAGTCAGGGATGTGGACTCAATCGGAGGTTGGGATCAGGAGGGTGGAGGGAGGGAGGATAGGAGGGTGGCAGAAGGAGTGGTCGAGTCAGAAGGTCTTGAGACATGCCTTGAAAGAGACAAGGGAGGGAACAATGCAAAGGGAGCCCTGTGGGATGGAGTTCCAAAGGGTGGGGCAGGGTGGCTGAAGTCCCGGCCATTGCTGGTGGGGTGGGCCGGATGTGAAGCAGGACCCAGCCTGTTGAGCAGAGGGAGTGGACCGGTTGATATGGGGTTAGCAGATCACAGAGGTAGGAAGGAGCGAGGCTGTGGAGGTCCTTAAAAGACAACAACAAGAATTTTGAACTCTATCCTCTGGGGGATGGGGAATCAATGGAGCTGGGCAAGGGTGGGGGTGCTAAGGTCACAGAGCCTAGTGTAGAAGAGGACATGAGATGCAGAGTTCTGGATGATCTGCAGCTTATAGAGGGAAGTGTTGGAAAGGCTGACAAGCTGGGAGTTGTCGTAGTTGAGCCTAGATGTGATAAATGCATGGATGAGGCCTGAGGGGAGAGGCAGTGGTGGTGGCAGAAGGCAGAGTGGGTCATAGCCTAGATGTGAGGTAGAAAGGACAGTTGAGGGTCAAACAAGATGTCAAGGTTCTGGACTGGCTCAGTGAAGTGAAGTGTGCATCCATGGATGGTGATGCCTGAGGTGTGGAGCCACTGACAGGAGTCAACCAGGAGGGCCTCAGTCTTGTTGACATTCAGCTGGAGAAAATCTTGATAGCAGTGGTCCTAGAGTCGAGGGTGGAAGCAGAGATCAAGAAATGCATCTGCAGAGGTTGCTTAAGAGATCATCAGGAAATGGGTTTTGTACAAATTATAAGTGAGACGACGTGATGCAATCAGAGATATGTTGGGTGCAAGTTTATATCCATTTGAAATTGATAGGCATGATACCTGCACCCAAATACACAATGTCCACAAAGCCTTGTTACCCTCCTGTCTACCCCCAACAGAAACTGGTGTGGGTGGGATTGTGCCCATGACAGGGTCAGTGATGCGTGGCTGTGGAAGGAATGGGTTTGATTAACCTTTTCTCTTTTCCATACTTTCTTCGCTCTTCCTCTGGTCAGATCACTCCTCGAGAAGGACATGAACTCCAGGTATTCTTATCCTTTCACATCCAGGAAACAGAGTGTCTGAAAGCATCTGGATTGGATGTGGCAAACTGTGCACTGAAATCTAACTTAGCTGCTGTGAGTACCAGAAACATCCTTATTAGTTTCTGAAAGAACATCAGCACGGCATTTTATGTTCTGTTTCCGCATTACCAATGACCCAAAAATCATAAAATGTCTGGTTATTTTTCAGCAATCATGTGCCAAGTAAAGTTTAAATGTTTTGCACACTTTCCAGTCTTCCATTAGCTTTAGAAGTTGATCAGTAATGGCTCATTGCTGTCTTTGTATTTCGTTGCCTTTCTAATGGTGACCGAATATCTGTTTCTCTTCATGCTTTCCCTCACTTCCTCCCGCTCTTTGAAAAGGTGTTGGGATCTATGGCAGTATCTCGCTCCTCCCCCCTCCCCGCTTCTCTTGCTCTCTCTCACCCTCTAAGACTCTCGATATAACACCCTCTAGTGACTATCCTCCTTGTGGGAGAGGTAAGTGGGGTTTCCTTGGAGCTGAATTTGCTACAAGATGAGATGCTTGGCAACGGAATATGAGAATCGAAATTGAGCCAGCCCTCTCTGGCGATCTCGGTAGTCAGGTTCCTGAGTCAGGCAGGTTCGCGGTATTCCATGGCTCTACTGATGACAGAGAAGCCCAGTCTGGCTCATTAATAATAATAATAATAATCCTTGCATTTTGATATAGCGCTTTTCACATCGGGAGGACATCCCAAAGCGCTTCATAGAATATACTGTAAAGTGAATTGACTGTATATTTGTGGGCGAACGCGGCAGCCAATTGCGTACAGCAACGTCCCACAAACAGTTGTAGATTGAAAATGACCAATTTATTATTGTTTTTGGTTTTGGAGGGATTATTACTAGGCGTGTGGAGTAAGGAAACTTGCCCAAGGTTTCGCCCTCTGCCTGGAATTGAACTCAGGTCTCTCGCTTGCAAAGCGAGTGCTCTAACCACTGAGCTACAGGACTCCACATTGGCAGGATCTGGAAGTGCATACCAGTCACTGGGGCAGGAGTCATCCCACTCAGCTCCTGTTAACCCTGCAAGCCAAAGCCCGAATGGGTAGATGGTCCTAGCTGGACAAGTAGCGTGGAAAGCTTGCCAGACAGTGATATCAATGGCAAGCTATGCTGTTTTAGCTGGTTAGACTCCAGCCATTACCCCAGAGCACACACTGGGGTCCCCAAGCCTTGGGTCTTGCCAACCTGTGCCAAATACTTTTCAGAATTAGGTAAGTAGAATGCATCCAATAAACATCTCTTCCATCCACAAGATGCAGATTATTCATAATTCTGCAGCTTGAGTCTTCATCCGTACTAAACTCCATGAGCCGACACCCCTATCCTTGCCCAGCTTCACTGGCTCCCCATCTCCCAGAGGATTGAGTTCAAGATCCTTGCCCTCACCTTTAAAGTCCTCAATGGTCTTCCTCTGCGACCTACTAAACTTTTACCAACCTATCCGCTCCCTCTGCTCAACATGCACTCACCTGCTCCATGAGCCCCACCCTGCCTGTTCCATCAGAGGTCGGGCATTCAGGCTTTCTGCCCCCACCCTCTGGAACTCCATCCCGAAGCATGGAATTCTCAGTTTGGTTTGGAAACTCTTAAATTTGGTAATGTGTCAGACACCCAGCTGACCAAAAAAAATTATATAACACTGACCGAGGTTGTCTCTATCTTTCTGTACCAGTATCTGGAGCTTTCCCTCTCTATGGAAATGCTATTTGAGTTTTTCCTTTTCACTTTGTAATCTATCCCACCTGCTTACCCCCACTCGATCTTCCGCTTCCTCTGCTCGGCTGCCTTCGGCCTCCTGTTTGTCCCTTGTGCCCTCTGTCCATCATCTGTGGCCGTGTCTTCAGCCATTATGCCTCAAAACTCTGGAACTCTCTTCCTCAATCCTTCCACCTTACACCCTCCCCCTGCAACTTCAAATCTTGCCTAAAGACCTTCCTTTTTGATCGTGCTTACGGTCACCTACACCATCCCTCTCCCCCTGGATTGTGGTCAGACTCCGCCATTGTGAAGCACTTGGGACACTACCACATGTGAAGGGCACTGTATAAATACAAGTCGTCGTTGTTGCAATCGTGTCCATGTACATGTCTGTATTTCTGTAATGCTGTTTGTGTCCTCTCCGTGCAATGGTGTGTGCACCTTCCTCTCTCTCTCTCTCATTTATCTTTCTCTCTCTATGTGCTGGGGGATTTTCTTTGACTCAGTGTGAACCTCCACAGCATGAATATGGGCTAATGCCAACCACCTGACCGCTCGCTCCCAGTCCCCGCGAGCGCATTATGGCTGCCGCTCTGACCCGAGGCCCTCACCCCCCCACCCTCCCTCTCCCCTCCTCTCTCCCCCCAAACCCTCCCCCCTCTGCATCTTTCCCGCTCTATCCTCTACTCTCTCTGTCTCCCTCGCCTTCTATCCCCATTTGACCCTCCCACAACCTCCCTCTGTTCCAGCCTGGGAATCCTCCGCCGGGCTCACCGTGGCACTCGGCGTTGGCTGTCCAGCAGCAGCCACACCGACTGCCCCATTCCCCACCACACTCGCCACCCCCCTCCCCACCTTCACCAGACCCACCGCCATCTTCTACCGCCCCTGGAAGAAGTCACCCCCACAATCCCTAACCGCTGCCTTGGAGTCCTCTGAACTCCTCTCCCTCTGGCCTTCAACCCTCACTGATCCCTCTTCTGCTCTCACCCTCCTCCACAACACCCTCTCCTCCACACTCGACACTCTTGCCCCCATCACTTCCCGTACTGTCTCCTACTCTCGCTCCTCTCCCTGGGTCACCACCCACCTCCGCTCACTGAAGAGCCAGGTGCGGGCCGCTGAACGCACCTGCCTCAAATCTGGCCTAACGGTCCATTGACAAATCTGGCTGGACCTCCTCAAAATCTGCCACTCCACTCTAGCCTCGGCCAAGCTGTCCTTCTCCTCCAGGATAATCCTGGAGGCGAGGAACAACCCCAGGCTTCTGTTCTCTACCACATCTCGACTCCTCTATCCCCCCCGCCACCCCGCACAGGTCATCTCCTCCAAACTTCACTGCGAGTGGATGCTGGATTTCCTTGAATCCAAAATCAAGGGAATCCGCTCCGCGGTCACTCCCCCTCTCAAAGCCGGTCAGGAACCTCGGCGTTCTGTTCAACCCTGAGCTGTCCTTTCTCCCTCATATCCGCGCCACAACTGGCACCGCCTTCCATCACCTCCGAAACATCGCCAGACTACGGCACTACCTCACCCCTCACGCGGCTGAAACTCTGGTCCACGCCTTTATCACCTCAAGGCTGGACTATGGGAACTCTTTCCTCGCCGGCCTTCCCGGCACCTCCCTCCACACTGCAGGTCATTCAGAACTCTGCAGCTCATGTACTGTCCCGCACCAGACACCGCGACCACATCACTCCCACCCTCGCTCGCCTCCACTGGCTCCCCATCCCCCAGAGGATCGAATTCAAGATCCTCATCCTCACCTACAAGGCCATTCATGAAGACCATTCATGGCCTTGCTCCTTCCTACCTCTCCGACCTACTTTCCCCCTACTTACCTGCCCGTACCCTCCGTTCCTCTGGCTCCAGTCTGCTCCACATCCCCCGCCCCAACCGCCCTCCATCGGTGTCCGGCCCTTCAGCCTCTCAGCCCCGAGGCTCTGGAACTCTATCCACCAGTGCCTTCGCCGCTTCCTCCCTTTCCTCCTTCAAGGCCGGTCTCAAGACCTTTCTCTTTGACCGTGCCTTCAGCTCCCCTCTCGACTCTCTACCCCCTCCTCGCTCCCTCCTCCCGACATGAAAGGCGCTCTATAAATGAAATCTTGTTGTTGTTGTTGAATAGCATGAGTGTAAAATGCAAAAAGAATCACTGAGATCCATCAGTGGCTAGTGTCTGTGTATTTGTCCACCCTGTGATTACTGTTGATTAGCCGCTTGTTGATGCTGACACTCTTGAATTATGTTACTGAATTCCTGTTCCATGTTCTGTCAAAAGGAAACTGCCAGCTGCATGAGTGTAGTTATGTTTGTAGATGATGATATTGTGAACACTGAGCTGGAATGCACAGCCACAGATTCCACAAACCCCAACGTCGCTACAAACAATATTGCAGCTCCAGAGATGCTATCAAATAGAACCGTATCGGCCATGGGCTTGACGCCACCAGTCTTGACACCACCGGCGGTAACATCACGGCTGTGATATCACCATCAATGATACTGCAGGGTGTGACCTGGGTGACCTGGATAATGCAGGGTGTGAGTTGTTGCCTCCCAGCTGCGCTCTTTCCTCTCCAACCATTCACTATTCGAAACCCTTCAGTCGGGTTTCCATGCTGCCCATAGCACAGAAACTGCCTTGGTCAAGGTCACCAATGACATCCTGACCATCTGTGACCAGGGCTCCCTCTGCCTCCTCGTCCTCCTCGACCTATCGGCAGCATTTGATACGGTCGACCATGCTATCCTCCTCCACCGCTTGTCCTCCCACCTAAACCTTCAAGGCCCTGTCCTTGAGTGGTTTAGGTCGTACCTCTCCCACCGTCTTCACTTTGTCTCCACAAATGGTTTTTCCTCCGGCCCCCGCACTGTCTCGTGCGGTGTCCCTCAGGGCTCTGTCCTCGGTCCCCTCCTCTTCACCCTCTATATGCTCCCCCTTGGTGACATCATCCGCAGACATGGGGTTAACTTCCACATGTATGCGGATGACACCCAACTCTACCTTTCCTCCTCTACCCTCAACTCCACGACCACCGATGTCCTGACAGCTGCCTGTCCGACATCGAGTCCTGGACGAGAGATAACTTTCTCCAGCTCAACGTGCGCAAAACTGAGGCCCTCCTGATTGGCTCACGTCAGCGCCTCCGCACCTCAGGCGCTGACAGCATCAGCATCCAAGGCTGCACTCTCCACCTCTCAAAGCCGGTCAGGAACCTCGGTGTTCTGTTCGACCCTGAGCTGTCCTTTCTCCCTCATATCCGCACCACAACTGGCACCGCCTTCCATCACCTCCGGAATGTCGCCAGACTACGGCATTACCTCACCCCTCACGCGGCTGAAACACTTTATCACCTCAAGGCTGGACTATGGGAACTCTCTCCTCGCCGGCCTTCCCGGCTCCTCCCTCCACACTGCAGGTCATTCAGAACTCTGCAGCCCATGTACTGTCCCACACCAGACACCGCGACCACATCACTCCCACCCTCGCTCGCCTCCACTGGCTCCCCATCCCCCAGAGGATCGAATTCAAGATCCTCACCTACAAGGCCATTCACGGCCTCGCTCCCTCCTACCTCTCCGACCTACTATCCCCCTACTTACCTGCCCGTACCCTCCGTTCCTCTGGCTCCAGTCTGCTCCACATCCCCCGCCCCAACCGCCCTTCAGCCTCTCAGCCCCGAGGCTCTGGAACTCTATCCACCAGTGCCTTCGCCGCTTCCTCCCTTTCCTCCTTCAAATCCGGTCTCAAGACCTTACTCTTTGACTGTGCCTTCAGCTCCCCTCTCGACTCTCTACCCCCTCCTCTCTCCCTCCCTTCCCTCCCCTCATCCTGACCATTTCCCCCCCTGCTCGGGTCCTGACCCAACTGTACAGTGCCTTGGGACGTCCTCCCGACGTGAAAGGCGCTCAATAAATGGAATCTTTTTGTTGTTGTTGTTGCCGTGACCTCACAGGATGTGACATCATTGGCTACAACAACGGCTGTGATACAATCAGCCATGACATCACCAATAGTGGGATCCCCAGTCATGACATCACCAACAGTGGGATCCCCAGCCATGACATCACCAACAGTGGGATCCCCAGCCATGACATCACCAATAGTGGGATCCCCAGCCATGACATCATCGGCCATGACAACACCAACTCTGACATCACCAGCCATGGCATCATCAACAGAATCATCTTCGTCATCATCTTCATCTGAAAGCAGTGAATCAGAGGAGGAAAGTATCTTGTTCCATTTAGTCCAGCATGTGCATGGTTTAGAGCTGATTTGGCTGCAGTCTATCAGCCAGGGGGCAAATAACAAGCAATTACCTTTATACAGTGTTGGATAATGAGAGGGGGTTGTATATGACTTGTGAGTTGGGATCAGAATGGGTTGGAGGGCAAGGAGGGTGGAGGAAGGAAGATGACCAAAGACATGGTTAGAAAAGAAGGTCTTGAGATGGGCCTTGTAAGAGGCAGGGCCCAAGGAACATTGTATACAAGATTGGAAAAATATACAACAGTGTACCAAAACACTGATTCCTTTCTCTTATAACAATTATCTTCTCTGTCTCCTGAGATGTATGCTGTTGACTCCTTTTGACCTTTTTGGCATCATTACATCACTTAAGCAGTCATTAAACGGGAGCCTTAACGTCAGCAGTATAGATTCGGGTTGAGAGAAATTCCACCTGGTTCCAGATTTACTCCACAGCATGTCAGAGTAACCAGAATATATCAAATACATCTTTCATTTTTAAGCCAGCTTTCTGTAAGTTATTTTAATGACTGTAGAAAATAGCTTCAAAGTTGACTGAATTCAACAATCTGCCAAATTCTAGTTCCTAAAATGTTACTTAAATAGAGAAAACCTAGAGCTTGATGGAATTTCTCCCCATGGAGAGTAGTTAGGAATCTGGACACTGGTTATTTTTAACCTGCTAAACTATCAGAGGTAGAGGAAAGCTAGTGAATAAAAAGAGTACCTCACATCACATGCCAATTACAACTAATGCATAACTCAGCATCCCTGTTTAAAGTTTCTGAAATGAAATCAAAAAGCAAAACGTATATAGAGATTGAAAGTGTATGGAGATGCAATTTGTTCATATTTTAAAATATTTTGTGTTCAAGAGACACAACAGCTGTAGGAAAGAAAGGTAACTGCCGGAAAAGAGGACGACGTGGAGACAGTAAGTCTTTGACTTAATTTGGGAGTAAGCTTCCATTTTTTTCTTTTTTTTGCATTAGCATCAAGAAGTGGCCTGCTGAACACCTGCCCCAATCTATGCGGGTCCCCACCAAATCAATATCTTGTATCTAATAGCTACTGAGCCACGATACCCATGGCGCAGCCATTAATGAAGAAAAATTCAAAGAAGAAAAATGTATTTGGTAGGCCGACCAAAAAAGTTGCCACCATTGACATAAGTCATCATGCTGTCAATATCCAGGCTGCATTTATTTATGTATTTATATACATGCCTAACTCACTGTTCTGGATAACTCATCACTGAGTCTTTTTTCCCAGTGACAAGTTGTGAAGACCCAATGCAATGTCAGTCACAGCCCTGGGAAAGTCAATGCTGGTAGATATCGTACCAGTCTCTGTGTCTTGATTATTCACATCACAGACATCAGATTTAAAAGATGGTGAAGGAAAAAAGCAAATTTCCAAGTTTCTGACTCAACGTGAAGGCAATTTCAGATAATCCAAGATAATTGCAGTATTAGGGAGTGATCCCCTAAATCCCCTAAATAAAATTGGTCATTTACTCCATGGCTGTTTGCACGATATTGCTGTGTGCAACTGGCTGCTGCATTCGCCCACAAAAAACACAGCTCTTTGGGTCTTTTCCACGATGTGACAAGGTGCCATATCAATTGCAAAGATTATTATTATAATTTAATTTACTGAAAAAGTCCTTGTTGCGCTATTTGGTTTTAGTCAGCTGATGTGTGAGTCATGAGACATGCAAAAATGCATCACTGGGTATCCAAACTCAATGACTGAATGCACTTAGGATTCCCCACTATTGTGTCCCACTGCATGCTCGAGTATTCACGAAGATGAGTGCAGAGTCTAAGGTTAATCTGCCAACAGTGCAATACTGTCTTCAAACAGAAGCACCACAATTCTATCAGAAATACCTGGAACAGCCTCTCTGTTTCATTGCCACTCAATACTTCATTGATGAATACATCAATAAGTGAGAGTGCACAAATTTACCTTACCCGCATTCCAGGGGATAGGCTCGGGGACAGAGTAAACAGACTTACACCTGGAAGGGCTGTCCAGCCATACAATACAACTTACAACACAATGCAATCTACATTTATGTAGCATCTTTCAAGTCAGGAGGATGTCTCCAAGTGCTTCTCCAGCAAACTGGAGAAAGAATAAAATTTGCATTTTTGGATGTTTGAACTATATCAGATGCAAATATATTTTATTCTTTCTCCATTGACATAAATTCTCCTCATAATTTGAGCAAACTTCTCCCACTCATTCCTGAGCTAAGTAAGGAGGCTTCATACCAATAGTAATTGGTTAAGAAATAATTTTTGAAATTTTCCTTGATGTGTTATGGGGTGGTAATTAAGAGAATGAACAAGGTAAAGAAAGCTAGAAATTGTAATCCATTGTGAGTAGTTTCAGATAACCTACTTTCTGCAGGGCTTTGCCGAGATGGTGCAGTTTTAATAAAGAATAAGAATCATGTTAAGGCTAAGAATGCTAAACAGCGAGGAGGGGTCTAGTAGAGAGGAATGTATTTTCATGGTACAATGATGGAGGTGGGATACAATGCATCTTGCAAATAATGAGAGGTCTACCCAATGTAAGTATAATCTGGCTATTTAACTAGGCTGAAATCAAACTATTACAAACTATGAGGGAACCGCCCAGACAAGTAGCTCTGGGGAGCTGGTATAATAATAATCCTTGCATTTGATATAGCGCTTTTCACGTCTTCTCGACGTCTCAAAGCGCTTCACAGAATAGACTGTAAAGTGAATTGACCGTATATTTGTGGGCGAAACGCGGCAGCCAATTGTGCACAGCAGTGTCCCACAAACAGTCATGGATCATGGTATGATCACAATGGCCTTCTTCTCTGATGACAAATTCCATGATTCTAGGCAAATTTCACTCCATGAAACCCAGGAGAAAGAATAGTCACTCTCACTGTCATGTTTCAATGTAAATCATCTCATAGTTCAAGATCGCATTGATATAATTTTGCTTGAATTGCAGGATTGCCAAAAAAGATGAAAAGAAGAAGCCACCATGGCAGGCGGAGACATTAACATCCTCCCACTCACACTCTGACCTCTCCGTCCATGGTCTCCTACACTGTTCCAATGAAGCACAGCGCAAGCTCGAGAAACAGCACCTCATCTATCTGCTAGGGACCTTACAGCCCTCTGGCCTCAATATTGAGTTCAACCACTTCAGACCATAAGAACAGCTCCCATCTTCCCATCTCCCATAAAAGATTACATTCCCCTTCCCCCTCTTCTGTGACCAGTAGCACATTATCTGGGTCCCAGACACATCTTTTCTCTCTCTGGTCTACCTCTGCTGCCCTCCTTTGTTTTGTATCATTAACACCTCTTTAACCCATCATCCCTTGTCCTCCACTCCACTTTCTCCTTTGTATTTCTTGCCTCATTTTGCCTCTCTTTGAGTCCTTAAAACCTCTCCCTCTCAACATCCCCCAGTTCTGACAAAGGCTCATGGACCCAAAACGTTGACTCACTTTCTGTTCTCCATAGATGCTGCCTGACCTGCTGAGTGTTCCCAGCGATCTCTGTTTTTGCGCCAAAAATATCTTCAAGCATCACTTTTACATGTGTGCAGGCTGGAGGTCAAGGTGCACCCATGTAGTAAACAGAACATGTTAAGTTGCATGGTGGGTGGGGGCAGCTATGTAAATGGTGTCAGAGTAACTCATATTTCCTTCTCTGCTCTCATTGCATGCCCGGTTTCCTTACTGGTCATTTTTCTTTGGGTTACCGGGTGTTTGACACATGCAGAAACCCATTACCATGCTTGAATATCCAAACAAGATCGAGTTCCACATATGCATGCCACCTACTCATGGAAATTCCCCCGTCTCTGGAATGCAATGAGCTCATTCAACTTGCTCACCCTCAGCTCACCCTGCTTACTTAATTCTGGAGTATTAAGCACAGGCTGGCAAGAGCCAAGACTTAGGACCCCCGTTGTGTGCGTTGGATTAAGTGTATGCTGGAGCTATTGACAGCAATGTCTGACAAGCTTTCCTGCTGCTTGTCCAGCTAGGACCACCTTATCCATTAGGGGTTTGGCTTGCAGGGTTAACAGGAGCTGAGTGGGAAGAATCCCTGCTCTAGCAATTGGTTTGCCCTTTTAAATATGCCTACAAAGATGAACAATGACATGTCCTGTAGAAAATCAGTATTCACTCTTGTACAACAGAAAATAAAATGAAATGGCTTCTTCCAAAAATGTCCTGTCTTCTTAATTCCTTGTATCCATCCAACAATGACCCACTCTCTGGTTCGTGAGGGTTTCATTGGTCCTGTGAAAGTCATGATTTCTCCAGTCTGTAACCGACCTTGCTCTGTATTATCAATGCCCATTCACCTGGTACCTGTGCCTGAGACCACAGTGAGCGCCTGAGTCCTAGCCCTAGGTCCTGCAAGGTCTGATCACCCCCAGCAAAGCTCCTCAGAGAGTTTTTATAAAACCCTCCAAAAGTTTACATCATCAGGAAAACAAACCTCAGAAATCAGATCATACCCATACGTCTAATATTAGTCCAAGCAAAAAATGGAAACCCTAAATCTGATCTGCATTGTCTGCAAACAACAATAACAACTTTCATTTATATAGTTTGTACAAGGCAGTGTCTTGGAGTACTGGCTCTCCCATTTGGCAATGCTAGTTTAAAATTGACTACTCTAACTGCACTTGCTCAACTTTAAACTTTCTCCCTTGGTGTCATGGCCAACATGGTTCAAAATAAAAAAAAAACACTCACTATATGGTTGTTTGTGGAACATTGCTGTGCGTAACTAGCTGTTGTGTTGCAGCCACCAAAAAAGGCAGCCAGTCAATCCACTTTACATAGTCAATCCACTTTACAGTATATCCTGTAAAGCACTTTGAGAAATCTCAATGACATAATAAAGCACTATATCAAAAGCAAGAATTAATATTACAATCCAATGATTGAGGACAAACTGGCATTCAAACAGCAGAGAAGTTAGCTTGGAGAACTAGCCCCATTGACACACACTGAGATAACAAATTACTAGGAAAAGGTCCAATGATTTGGTCCCTTTTGATGAATGTGTGGAGTATTCAGAGGCCAGATCCCATTTCTTTGTGTGATTTTTTACACAATGGGGAACCTGCAACACCCTCTATATTTAAATCAAACTCAGTACTTGAGCAGTTGGCATTAACCAGCAGTTTCCACATTCTTGTATACATGTATATGACATTGAAAATGAAGCCAAGCAACCTATTGTTGGGATGGGAAGTATTTGTGCAGAACCCAGTGCACTTCCTGTCTGACGCTTCATAATTACAAGCAAAAGCAGCTCAATGGTTTGAGGAGAAACAATTATGGAGGGTTCAAGCCAATTTACTCTCCCATTTTTTTTTGGTCAGCTCGGTGTCTGACACATGCAAAAAACCATCACCATATCCAATCCAAACTGAGAATTCCATGAATTCCACCAGTACATAGAAATTCCAGAAATAAATTGCTGGAATGGAATGCTGGATGTTGGAGTTAAGAAGAGTGGAGGGCAAGGGGGGGGGTGGGGATGGAAAGAGACCAAAGGTGCGGCTGAAAAGGAAATTCTTGGATGGACCTCCAAGGAGGCAGAGGGGCTTCGCAATGGCATTCCAGAGGGTGGGGTCAGAAAGCCTGAATGCCCGACCTTCGATGGAGTGGGCAGTGTGGGGAACATGGATCTTAAACTCGAAGCTCTGGGGGATGGGAGCCAGAGAAGCCGGAAAAGGATGGGGTTGTCTGCTCATGGAGTTTAGTGCAGGTGATGACACGAGCTGCAGAGTTTTGAATAATCTACAGTTTGTGGAGGGAAGAGATAGGAAGTGCGGTGAGCATGGAGTTAGCATATACGTTTCTTCTCTAGCAAAAAAAGGCCTAACCTATCTCATCTATCCTGATAGCTGTAACTGACTAGCCCTGGTATCATCCTTGTGCTGTACTGTACTGTGTACTCTATGCTGTACTCTGTCCATCTCTATTGTATCCTTCTTATAGTGCAGAGACGAGAATTGAACACAGTACTCCTGTCACATTGAAAGTCTCAACAACAACAACTTGTATTTAAATAGCGCCCTCCACGCCGGATGGCGTCTCAGAGCGCTTCACAGCAATGGATCCTGGGGCCGAGCCAGGGGAAGGGGGAGGAAGGTGACCAAAGGCGCAGGTGAAAAGAAAGGTCTTCAGCAGAGACCTGAAAACAGGAAGAGAGGGGGCGAGGCGAAGGGAGTGAGGAAGGATGTTCCAGAGCCTCGGGGCATAGTGGCTGAAGGCACGGCCTCCGAGGGGGAGCGGAGGACTCGGGGGACAAGGAGGAGGCCAGACTCGGAGGAACGAAGGCAACTGGCACTGTTTTGAGGAGAGAGGAGGTCAGGGAGGTAGGGGGGTACGGAGGAGTGGAGGGATTTGAAGACTCACAGATCTTCACAGGTCTAACCAGCAAAGCACACACAGCAGCTATCTATCCAGAGGATTCCACAAACAGTCAGGCAGCGAATGACCACGTAATGTGGATGATAATGATAATAATAATAATAAAACGAATAATAATAATCTTTGCAATTCATACAGTGCATTTATCACATGTTGGCCAGGACTGATAAATCAATTTCATTCACTTCAGCTCTTTGTGATAATTCACTGTCACTTTTTTAATGTCATAGAAAATGAAGATGTACAACAACATCAACAACTCGCATTTGACAGCACCCTTGAATGAGGCAGCTTTTCAAAGTGCTTAACACTGGTGGAGCCTGATGCCAAGCCAAGGTGTCGACACCGAGGTGACCTTAGGCAATTAGTCTTTGACCATGCAGAGGATTGAGGCAGAGAGCTTTTGCATATGATGAAAGTGACAAAGCTACCAACACAATTAATAACCAAAAATTACAAAACTGCTTCATGACAACACAGTCCAATGTTTATAAAAAATATTCTTAATGGTGTGCAACTTTCAGAAATTATGTGGTTAGTGATTAAAGTATTAAAATAATAGACGTCACAGGAATTGTGACATGTTGGTGCAGTGACTATGGTCTGGTTACAACACCGTGTGGTTACTCATGTTCTTCAACTCAGGCTGTGAGGGAACTAAACACTGATTGCATCCACAAGGAGACAGACAGAGAGAAAAAGCATCTTTGTACAATGAAACTCGTGAGCCTTATCTTCGCTATGCTCCAAATCCACTACTGTTCTGGTAAGTACTGAAACAAATCTTCTGATCAGAGTAAATAACTGTTGGTTGAGCATTTTATTTTGTTGGTTTGTGGGATGGTGGAACTCCATGACCGAGTAAATTAAAGGCTGCAGCTTTGACGTGTTTGGGTTGACCAATATGACGGTGAAAAATTAGGTGATCTTAACCTCCTGTCACTTGCTTCTTTCATCCAGGCCAGTCGTGTGAAAGCTCCACAAATCCAAAAGTTACAGTTGCACTGGAAAATTTCCTTACAAAAGTGAATACAGGCGCTGAGTTCCCAATTGTCAACTTGTTCACTGTCACCAACTGCAAAGTAGTAAATGTGAGTCCACCTTCATCTAACAATATTTTTTTCTTCTTGTCTATTCAATTCTCCACATGATGCATGTAACAGCCTGGCTCAGTGGGTAGCACCAAGAACAGCAAATTGCATTTATAAAGTGTCTTTCATGGAGGGAGCACTCTCGCCTTTGAATCAGAAGATTGTGGTTTCAAGCCTCACATTGGGACTTTAAATTCACATAGTATAGTTTGGGGAAGTCGTCCCAACAACATGACACCAAACCAAGATTCAGTCTTCTTGACCACATGGTAAAGATCCTGCGGAACTATTGGAAAACAAACGAGAGTTTCTTCCAGTGTCCCCTACAGATAAAATTGATCATTCACTATGTGAATGTTTGTGGAACATTGTTGCATGCAAATTGTCTGCCGTATTTGCCTACAAAATACAGAGTCACTACCCTTTACAGTAAATCTTATGAAGCGCTTTGAGATGTCCCACTCAAGTGAAAGGTGCTGTATCAAATGTCAAGATTAATATTATCAGTAGTAAGGTTATTACCATCAACCCTAAAATGCTAATAAATCAGTTTGTGCACCACA